CAGAATTTAAGGTTGCGGCACCTCAAGTGGTTCTGGATTCGAACCATGGTTGGGGCGTTTATTTGTGTGAATCGTGGTTGTATCGTCCATATTTATGTATTCTATATGTTATTTAGTTGTCATAGTTTAGTTGTCCTAATGAGATTTTTTAGTTTTGCACTAAATAATTGTTGTGAGCTGTCACAAATATTATGTATTTCGATTTTGATTGGGTTTTTACCTGGGTCGAAATTAAAATCTAAACTATAGTTAAAAAAAAAAATGCTATAAACCTTAAAAGAGATGATTATGTAACAATATTTCTAATGATTTTATTTCTTTTCAGCTCCGATCATCAGACAGAATTTGTCACCTTTGCTGGCAAAAGTGTAATAGTTTATTTCTAAATTATACTGCACCATCTTCATCATCTGCAAGTTCTACATCTTCTCAAGAATTGCCAATTCATGAGATGGATCACTATAATGATGATAACACTATATCAGTCTCGAATTCCAGGGAAAATACTTGCAAGTGTACCAACAATAATTTTGGTGGGGCGTAGAACTGTATGTTGACTAATGACAACCATTTGGTATTTAGGATGTGCTAGATATCAGTCAAATATGGAAGCCAGCACAATTTTTATAACAAAAAATTGATACAACTGATAATTAAAAATATTAATCTTTACATGTTTTTAAATTTACAGACCCTTTTTTACGACTTAAAAGGTTTCGTCCTTTACCTAAAATCCATAAATGTATATAAATAGGCTGTTTTAAAGAAAAACTATGTAGAAAATTGTTGAATAAAAACAAAAACTTTTTTGAACATAACTTTTTTGGTGAGCTTTTATTAAAGATATTATCACGGAATTCGGGGAATTATGGGAGACTAAAGTAAATGCCACGGCCATTTAAACGCAACTGTTTATTGGTTACTCCTAGCAACAAAAACAAACGTACAATCTGTCACAGATATAATGTGCATATAATTTTCTATATTTTTTCCCCTTTCTTATAATATAGCACTCTTGTCTGTCGGTTCTGGCCGAAGTTTCTATGGAAGCTTGGCATTGTCCTTTCATGGAATTTGATTTCGCAGAAAATTTTTCATAAGAATAGATATGTTATCTGTTAAGAATATTATGGTTTCAAAGAATATGTACTTGAATGAAATATATTACACAAATATGCAATTCAGTTAATTTTATAATCTTATTTTTTTGTTGGAAGTTTTCTCCTTGGTATTTTATTTCGAAGAAAATGAAAAAATATTTAAAAAATCGAAAACCAGAATTAATGGTAATTAGTAGGATACATAGTAGAACTGCGAGCCCTATATTTGGATTCGACCATAGACCTCATTCTTTGTGAAAAGTTTATTTGTCGAATCATGGTCAAAACCATATTTTTTGTATAATAAATCTATAGTTACCACGGGAACCACGTAACTTATGACAACATCTCGACATGAAAGATTTTGGATGCGATGTGAATAAGAGGTCTAGGAATGCTCTCTGATTCCGCAAGAATCTCTCAACCAATGATTATCTCTATACCGATAAGGCCGCCGATAGTAGAACTAAATTTATTTCCATAATTATGGTGTACAAGAAAGATTTTATGGATTAATTCGTCATTGGATAAAAAAATAATGTCACCATACAATATCATTTAATTAAATAACAATAAGATTTTGCCGATAACCTATAAAAATATTTAAGATAACTACAAAATACCATAAATTAACACCATGATATATAAAATACAAATATTACCAAGTAATAACAATAAAATATAACGACATTTTTTATATAAAATAAGTAATTATGTTTTCTTTTTAATTATTATTATGCATAACTAATTATCATTCTCCCAAATAAGGGCACAATTTTGTTCGAATTCCGAAATTCCAAGTATAATATAATATCCATAAACTCATTGTCAAATATGCATGATATAAATTCCACAAATACATTTGTATATAGGTACTATAGTGGGGTTGCCGAACAGAGACAATGGGTATGTTCCGATATACACTGCGAGCACTGCGCAGTGGTCTTACTGCTGAAAAATCCGTTCCGTTATGGACTGCCAGTACACTGCTACAGTACCCTAGGGATGTCGTCATAAATTGCCGCCATATTTATACTGTGAGTACTAGAGATTTCGAGGTAAGGTGCTCGCAGTGCTTTTGATCACGTGATCAGTCGAAACAGAATCAGAAAATGATAAGTTTCTAAATAAACAAAAAAAAAAATACTTACGTTTATTTATAAGATGGATTTAATTGATAAATATTTTTTTAATACAATTTTCCAATTTTCTTTTGAAAAGAGGGAATCTTTATATTTATATTCACCTTGCATTAACAAATTTGAAAATGGCGCCAAAAATAGGATTAACAGTATACTGGACTGCGTTCCGTTTTAAAAAGTCACCAGTATAACTAGCTATAAAGGAACGGGCTTCCAGTATACTAAATTGACGTCATACTGTTCAGTGGTCGCAGTGTATATCGGAACATACCCAATAATAAATTTCGTACAATGACCCGACATAATCGCGCTCGCACAGATGCAGCTCGCACAAATTCTCCGTTTGACGTTTTCTTCTGAACTATACTTTCAAGTATCTTCAAAAACGTTATCGCTGTTATTGTTGAAGTCGTCATCATCATCATCATCATCATCATCACCAGCCCTTTTACGTCCCCACTGCAGGGGCTCAGGCCTTCCTTATGGATGGTTAAGGAGGATGGGCCATAACCCTCCACGCTGGCCCAATGCGGATTGGAGGGTATTAACGACTGCAAATGCAGCCGGGACCAACGACCTAACGTACCTTCCGAAGTACGGAGTAACTCGAGATAATAATTTTTTAGTCACCCATCCCATGACCGACCCTAGCGAAAGTTGCTTAACGACTAAGATCGCGGGCCGCGGCGCTTATCCACTACGCCACCGAGCTACTCATTGTTGAAGTAATAATAGCTAACTAACTGAACTGTTACTACCCCTCAAACTACTTACTAATATCACGTTATTCTTCAGTCAAATGTAATTAAAGAAATATAAATATACAGGGTTATTTGTAACCATACCATAATATAGTAAGTTTACTTCTATTATTACAAGTTATTAACAGGCTTGGAACCGCAATATGATAGTATTAAAACTAAATTTAGTTAAGTGTGTGCAACAGAATTGCTACCATTTATTTTTCGTTTTATCGTCATTGCTATCTATTTCATGCAGGGCTCGGAAACGTTTTTCAAAATAACGTTTTTAAAACGTTTCTTATGGTTCTTTGGGCAAGATTGCGTTCGAAACGAAAACGAAATGAGAACGCTTTAAAAAACCGGTTTAATCCGCAAGACGGTGCCGCGCGGGCTGTAAGGGCGGCGTACATTTATTTTATTACGTTATTTACAGTATGCGATGCAAAAAAACGCAAAATAAATGGTTAAAACTTTTTATTAACCGAAAACAATATAATTCTGTTTTTTTCCAAAATCGTTTTTTATATCGTTCTGTTCGAACGAAACCGAAACAAAGTGTTTTTTTTAGGTATTTAAGATGAAAACGTTTCGAAAAATATACCGGTTTCCGACCCCTGATTTCATGTATAGAGCCGCTAATCGCCTCTTTAACCGTTATCGTTAATTTTTATTTGTTAAATTTAGTTTTTGCCACTGGGTTCACATTTTTAACTGAGTATTATTATTAATCAAAATTATATTAAAATAATTACAAATGTAACAAATTATGTAATTTATATAACTTCATAAATAAATAGATTAACATCAATACATTAATCAATTTGAGTATAACCGAACTATTTTTGCCGTACAAGTACAATATCACGCGTAAATAAAAAATCTGCTTAGAATTTTTTACCTTTAAGTTTGCATTTTTTTTTTCATGTATATGTCACAACATCCTTTTCAATATACACCGTTTATAAATAACTAATAAATATATAAGTAAATGAAAGTACGTGAGACCAATAACACATGTCTAAAACATTAATAAAAAATCGGATATAAAGTTATAATTCTTCTTACTCTCTCTTTCTGAGTGAACCTTTATGCACTGATCAAATAAATAATAAATAAAAAATAATGAGTAAATTTACCAATCGTAGATATAAATATCGTTTAGTAACGTTTATTCCGATAACAATTAACGTTATAATAACGATAAACTACCTTCCCAATTATCCCTTCCCTCGATCTTAGTAAGTGGCCTCCCAATTTCAATTGTAATATTTTTCGTTTTCATTTATTGTCTTAAAGAAAAACAGCATATTGCACATTCCTTTCAACTACTTAACTATATATACCTTTGTTCTTTACCCTGCATATATTATTATTATTATTAAAATAGGTTTTGCCGTTTTTAGTAGCTCTATAAAAAGCTTTCATAGATTACTCTTATTAAAATTGGGTATACCAGCATCACGATAGACTTTGTCCCAAAACTCATGTCTTTCCTTATCAGGGTATACGCCTTGAGTCAACTGATTGCTTATATTTAAAAATTCTTTCTTGCTTCTTGTGTAAGCCGGCCATTTTACGCCGAAATAATCGCTTGGTGTTGGGTCCCTGAAAATGAAACATAATATCATTGATTATATAGCTGTAATATTATTTTTATAAGGCAAAATAATATATTTTTTTATAATTTTTTATAAATTCTGATATTTTAATATAATGTTACGTTATAAATAATTAGTGGCCAACAATTACTTTTTATAGTCTTAGAAACGTTAAAATGAATTAAAGTATATCAACGGCACATTAGATTACTACGAATGGCCTACGATTTGAATTTGAACTTAACGATCGACCGATTAAAGTTTAAAATTGATAGGTTTGACCTTTTGTAATAATCTGATATGTTGGTGCGATATGGCCCGTATTCATCAAAAGGGAATGTATGTAACCTACCACTGGCAACATGAGAGACCGACGATGTCGATGAATAGATAAAAACAGCAAATTAATAGTCATGTGATAAAATGGTAGATTATATAAATATAGATTCAATTCCTGCAGTCATCGCAAAAATAATTTACTTACCCAGTCTTCGCGAAATCCGTCCATAGTTTAGTTGCCGTAAATACTAGCTCCCTCGCCTTCTCTTGCTCTTCGTATTTTGATTTGTTAATTACATTATCGAATAAGTAAAACAAATCATCGGCATGGGAGGCGCCTTTCACTCCATCAAATCCCATTAAACTCTTGAACGCATTCATTTCAGAATTAATGCTAAATCTAAAAAAGTATACTGGCTGCTTTGACGCCGCATAGAAGAACGCAAACCTGTATATACACACCGCAAAATGATAGTCGGTGAGATATTTTTCAGCATCACTTTGTTCCCTGAAGCCATTTTTGAAGTAAAATTCTTTAATCCGTTCTCCAAATACATTAACTGTAGATTGTGATGTCTTATTGAAGATCTCACGAGGAACCAAATAATGTGGCTCTCTCTCAAAGACATCCACTTTCTTCATCATATTATTTACACTGATTAAGCCTTCGTGAGAATTGTAGCCAATCAGTAAAGGAACTTCGTTGACCTTATTTAGCAAGAGCATATCAAGAGGCTCTTGATCAATGAAAGGTTCTGCGTTTTTAAATCTTTTCTCTACGACTGGAACAAAATGAATCGGTAGACATCTGTGAGTCTCATCACTACTTTTTACTTTATTTGTCAAACCTACTAGTTTAGTTGCAGGTACGCTCTGGAGGAAATCTAATAATTCATAGGGATTATTTGTCTGTTTACCTAATATCTTGCCTACTTTGAATGCTCTTTCTGTCGAGTTAAGTCCTTTCGACCAATCGTTAAGGCACACTCCACTCTGAGCTATTGCCTTGTGAAATAAACCTTTAGACGTTGGTGACAGCAAATGGTAAGTAACAGATGAAGAACCAGCGCTTTCCCCTCCTAAAGTAATATTACTTGCATCTCCACCAAACTGTTCAATGTTATTTTGTATCCAACTCAATGCCGCAACTTGATCTTTCAAACCAGCATTGCCAGGTACCTCGGGTATATCCAAACATAAGAACCCTAGGACGTCCAATCTATAATTGAAGGTCACAAGAATCACATCATGCTGAAGTAGAAATCTAGGACCAAGAATATCGTCGTTTCCTGATCCAGACATAAACGCACCACCATGTATAAAGACAATAACCGGTAACTTGGCTGTTGGCAGCAGCGTTCTTGTGTACACATTCAGAAATAAACAGTCCTCATTTCCTTCTAATAATGTTGCTGTAAACATGTCGAGTTGGGGACATACTGGACCGTGTTCGAAAGCATCCCGTACTCCAGACCAAGGCTTAGGCGGTAATGGTGCCTAGACAAAAAAAAAATTGTAAGTTTTGTTTTTCTTCTACATTAATCTTAAACAATAATACTGACTATACTATGCCATGCCATAGTCAGGGATATGCCAAAAGAGTTAAAATTTGTACCTATATCATGATAAGTTTTAGGTAATTTAATATTGTTGTTGATAGCTTTTCTAGTCTCTCCCCAGCCTGAGCCAGATAATGATGAAGTCTATCTTGTACTGTCCATCAGTGTTCAAATATAATATTTTCCACGATAATTGATCTTTAATCTAATTAAATATACAGTGCATGCATGACACTGTCTATAACAAATATAAAATATCTGTTTGTTTATTGTGTTTGTAAACACTAAAACTGTTGCATAGGTAATTTTAATAAATCACAAGCAGTAATGTGCATTATTTTATAATCACACTTCACAATTTACATTATTAATGTAATGAATAAATAAATTATTAATTTAATGTAACATCTGATATTTGCCTTTGCCTGAGCATAGACATAAAGTAATGGAACAAATAAATATCTTCATATAACCGCACCGTTATAGGTACTACAAGCAAGAGGCTCATAATTATATGCGTGACGACTATGAATTTGAATAATTAATTGAATTTTCATGATTATATACCATTCCACTCTAGTGTACACTAGTGTGTTTATTCAATATGCAAGTAAAAGTAATATTTTTTTGGAGATTTGTTCTATTACATGATTATGAAATAGAGTATTTTAATTCAAATATCATAGACATTTTGCTAGTTCATTTGCTGCTCCGGCACCTGGGATCAACTTACCAAATGCTTTTATTTCTCAATTCGACTATTGTGGCAACTGATTCGCTACTAGCCCACTTAGCAATCAGCATACTTTGCATTCCTTCTACTTCTCAATAGGACTACTTCATAAGACTACCTATAGTCATTTTAATGTAGTAGCATTGTCAGATAGTCTACATCAGTTATGTTACATATGTTCAATTATGATTTACCGAAATTGGCATAAAAATGTAATTGCTTGCCTTAAATCGTAATTTTCCAACAGGTGCTTGAGCATAGGGGATGCCTTTGAAGCTGTAAAATGTGGTTCCATCAAAGAGTTTCTGAGCTGAACCTCTCAATTTTCCTTGCTTTGTTGCAACTATAGGATTGCTCTGAAAATAAAAGGGTATGTTTTTCACAGTTATCTTTTGATTTAATAAATTAAAATCCTTTTTTTAGCTGTTTAGGGTTAAAAAAAATAATAATAAGTAATTCATCTAAGGACTATGTAAATTATTGGATAAATTGAACAAACTCACACCCATTTTATATACATATTTTTTTAATAAAAACATACCTACATTAATAGTTCATGAAAATATTGATTACAGGGCATTGAAATATATCATTTGTTCTGTAACATGTTTATTATTCTTAACAAATCCACATAAATTGATTATGAGAACAGTACAAATGCTTCATTCTAGTTATTAGAATATTAAGGCTTGGCATATTTATAATTACCAGACTTCTGGGCAATACCCTATAATTTATTGTTATTAAGTATTATTTTGTACCTTGTGTTCAATTGAAACAAAAAAAAAAAACATTTTGTAATGAATTAGGATATACATAATATTATTAGATATCATATAGAAGATTTCTTCTATTCTAAAGGAACTGCAAAGCTATCAATAATGATAAGACGGCAAAACAAAAGCAACACTATATTAATTAAAACTTGGAGTACATAGTATTTTTTCAGTCTGCTCTTAAATTTGGATAAGAAGTGGTTAAAAAGTCTACATAGAGTTACGTAGCCCTTACATTTATGTGTTAATAGAGAAGTTTCAAACAACATATCTTCAAGCCAAGACATAATGTATAATCAACTTACCATACCTTTGCCTGCCAAAGTTGAACTATAACTCTTTGATATAGACATAAAACTTCTTCCTACCATACGTATTAGAAACATTATAAATATATATTGATATGAACCAAAAATAATAAATCAATCTCTCAAAGATAAACATTAATTTGATAATACAAAATATAATTATTCTATCTACTCACATACCTTTTCCATATTTATTATTTCTTGTTATTCTATCTAAAGTAAAATACTTAACTAATTTCATAAATCCATTATCTAGCTACGGAAATTACCTAATTTAACCTTTAACCTAAGTTTGTATCTATTTATTGCCTATTTATGTACAAATGTCAATTGTCGGAATGACGTTTGTTGTCATTTGGTGTTTATTACTAGAGATGCTACTGCTAATGAGAAAGTATTTAAAAAAAAAATTAGTTCCCGAAATCAAACAAGATGACGCTACGGTACATTCTTGATTTCTTCATGACAACATTTCCGGTTTTCTTTCAAGTTTAAAAGTAAATTATTTTTCAAAACTCAATAAACAACTCATATTCTATTTGTACTTTTTTATATTTGTATTGATATCAAAATTTCGAACTTTTTAAATTTTAGTTTTTTAATATGTTAGTTAAAAAAAACGAAAATTTGACTTTGGTCCATTCGTTTCCTGCAAAAATCAACTTTTGCCAGAGTCGCCATCTAGTAGAGGTGCTTTTTTAGTGCTTTCGTTTTTTTGAATACTTCCTCATTTATACTACAAGAAGTAGCTATTCAATCATAAAAATCTAAATCTGATTACAAATCATTTTCAAAATTTAGTTAGGTACCTACAAACATATTACACCTTTAACTGTCACTTTTGAAGTAAAACTTTTTAATAGACTCGACCACACAACACAGAAAGACGTTAGAAGGGCCTTGTGGGCGTGGCAGTGTAGCCACGATCCTGGATAAATGTACAGGATCGTGACTTCACCACGCGATCACTATGTTTGGTCATTCACGAACGCGCGCGCTGTAAGTACTGTGAAACACGCCACTAAAAGTGTCAAAAATGTCGACTTGCGTAGTTATTAATTGCAAAACAAGAAGCCCATCCTCAAGTAGGTCCAAATGAAGGATTTCTTTCCATTTCTAAGTAGTACACTTCTCATATTTAGTATTTTGAGTTGAAATTCGTAAAATGTTATAAAAAATGTGAATCACAAAAATTTTTTCCAAGAAAATATACATTGCTGGAGAAGTACGCATATTTATTACATTGCGTCGTACTAAGCACGTTATGTAAATAACATCGCGAAATCACCGTGTTAAATAGTAACATATAGTATCCGACCGACACTAGTTTTACGACCGAAAACTAGTGTCGGTCGGACTCAAATTTCTCCTCCTTGGTTGGGAATTCCAAATTCAAATTTATACAGCACATTTACACATGTATTTGTGTTTTTTTTTTCTTCTGTTTGTCCTATTTACGTCACCCAGCATAAAAAAGGGAAAACTTGAAATATCGTGTTATTTACGAGTACAGGTTCCACAGTGGAAAAAAAGCGCGGATAAAAAACGAATTCCACCGTGGTACCAGTGCTGTGGAAACGGCTCGAAGGGTTAACGATGTGTATGGCGGTTGTGTTCCAAAAGAAAACACACTGCGTTTTTGGTTCCAACGTTTTCAGATACTTACTATTTAAGTAACTTGCAAAGGTTGATCACGAGATGGGTGAAAAAATATCATCTCATGCTATTCCGTGCCTCGGAAGGCGCATTAAGCTATTGGTCCCGGCTGCTTATGAAGTCGTCCATATCTTTCAATCCGCATTGGGCCAACGTAAAGGGCCATGGCCCATTGTCTTTAAACATCCATAAAAAAGGCCCGAACCGAGCAGTGGGAATGTAAAATGACTTGTTACAAAATACCCTTTTAATCAATTTTACTTAGTAATAAGATAGCTCATGTTCCAAGCTCCATAAACTGCAATATATAGGTTCAGTAAAAATAATTTAAACGATACTCTGGCGTTATTATAATGAAATACTGTTTTGATCACAGAACACGGAAAGAGGTTAGAAAGGCGATCATGCATCCTTTTATACGAAAACCGATATCGCCAGTCTTGCCCCACTTTTCATCCGCCATACATCAGTCGAAATTAAAGATCAATTATACAAAACTATGGAAAAAAATTATGGAGAAAACATATAAATGAGACAGTACAAAAATGTTCTAAATTTTTAAATTTATTCAAAATGTTGGTCGGTAAAAGTTGGGGTATCCATCCAAAACATGCAAGAAGACTGTACATAGCTCTAATAAGAAGTCGTATGGATTACGATTGCTTTATCTATGATTGTAGTGCGAAAACTCACGTGTCAAAGTTGGATAGGCTACAAAATCAAGCTCTGAGACTCATAGGGGGATATATTAAAAGTTCCCCTATTCACGTAATGGAAAATGATCTGAATATTCCACCATTATTTGTACGAAGGCAATACCTGGCCTACAAATTCAGCTTAAAAAATATATTTTGGTTAAATACCGAAACTATTAAATTAATATCGGATTTAGTTAGACCATGCAATTATAAATACTGGAAAAAGAAAAAATGCCCTCTACTTGCTCAGTATTATTCGGATATAAAACAAGTCAAATGTTACACCTCAGAAATTAATCCTATGTTTAGCTTAAAATTTTGGGTAAGCTGTATTGACCACAATGCACTTATTATAACGAATTTAGATTCTATAAAATCTGCTAAAAAAAAACTATGAATATAATGTACTATTACAAAATGTTATAATAGAATTGTATACAAAGTACAACAACTGGCATAAAATTTATACAGATGGCTCAAAATGCAATGATGGTTCTGGAGCAGGGTTGTATGATCAAAGTACAGGATATGAGGCAGGATACGAGGGTCAAACTGAAAGTTCTTAGAACTGGCCACTTATAAACAATATAATAAAAAAATAATTCTAAAATTTGAAAATATAACTCTTTACCAATATTACTGAGTATATATTTCATTCATTTGTCATTTGTTTTACGATTTGGCGGCAAATTGAAAATTGTCTGTGTCACGTCATCATGAATTTAACACGAGAAAATTTTCGTGCAATGATTTTTTATGACTTTCGATGTCATTTAAGTCAACAAGAAAGTTATGATAGACTACGATTGGCCTTTCACGATGAAGCCCCATCTCGTGCGACTGTTTACAACTGGTTTAATGAGTTTAAACGTGGTCGCACTAATCTCACTGATGATTTACGTGAGGGACGGCCTTCTACGGCGACGACTGAAGATAACATCTGTGTTGTGCGGCGTATGATAGAGACTGACAAAAGAGTGACCTATCAACAGATTCGGGCAAGCTTAGGCATCGGTATGAGTCAAGTGCACAAAATCCTCCACGAACATTTAGCGGTCAGGAAGCTTTGCGCCCGGTGGATACCTCATAATTTGACTGAGGCTCAAAAACTCCATCGTGTGGATTGGTGTCGTAAAATGATTGAAAGATTTAACGGAGGTGACTCAAATGCTGTGTTCGACATACTAACAGGTGACGAAAGCTGGATTTACTGTTATGATCCTAAAACCAAAAGACAATCTGCTCAGTGGGTGTTTCCTTTCGAGGAGTTGCCAACTAAAGTGAAGAGAGATCGAAGTGCGGGAAAAAAAATGGTGGCCTCGTTCTTTGGAAGGATAGGTCATTTTGCAACAATTGTGTTAGAGGATCAAAAAACAGTTTCTGCAGAATGGTACACTACCAATTGTTTGCCACTTGTCTTGGAAAAAGTTCGAGAGAAACGACCTCGCAGTAGGATCCTCCTTCACCACGACAACGCCTCGTCGCACACCGCCAAGCGAACGATCGACTATTTGGCGACATCAAACGTTGAATTACTGGGTCACCCGCCGTATAGCCCCGACCTCGCGCCTTGTGATTTTTATTTATTTCCAAAAATTAAAGAAAAACTTAAAGGAAAGCGGTTTATGAATGCTGAAGAAGCGGTGGCTGCGTATCGCGATGCCATTGAAGAGACCCCTAAGGACGAGTGGGCAAAGTGCTTTTCCCAGTGGTTCCATCGCATGCAGCGGTGTATTGACGTGAATGGACAATATTTTGAAAAGATATAATAAAACTAATAACTGGCTAATGTAATCAGTTTTTGATTTTCTAAGAACTTTCAGTTTGACCCTCGTATAAGATAATACCTAATATAACAATTATGTCATTGGAACTCATTGCAATATCCAAGGAAATATCATATGCCAAAAATCTAAAATTGACACAATTTGTAATTTTTTGTGATAGTAAAAGTGCTTTGCATCATTTGGCTCGGTGCATCTCTGGCATCAGAGGTATATCAATAGCCTACGAAATTCTAAATAATATCCAAATTTTATCTGAAAAGAACATAACTATAAAGTTGCAATGGGTTCCAGCGCATATTG